TTGCCCCCGAGTTACCCCTGAGTTCCCCCCGACTTGCCCCGAGTTCCCCCCGAGTTCCCCCGAGTTCCCCCCGAGTTCCCCCCGACTTGCCCCTGAGTTCCCCCCGACTTCCCCCGAGTTCCCCCCGACTTCCCCCCGAGTTCCCCCCGAGTTCCCCCCGACTTCCCTTGAGTTACCCCCGAGTTACCCCCGAGTTACCCCTGAGTTACCCCCGAGTTGACCTGGCCCTCAGTTTGTCAGGGGGAGAGAGAGAGAGAGAGAGAGAGAGATAGACCGCCCACTCGCCGGAACGCGCCGGGCATCTGTTTTGCGCCTACAAGGAATAGCCCGGCGACGGTTTTACAAGTTTTTACGAGCTCGCCGAGAGGACTTCCCTTTTCTGCCGCCTCGTTTCCCGGCACTTCCCGGCACACACACGCAAATACTTCGGCAAACAAGTGGCAGAGTGGCTGCGTGAGTGTGTGAGTGAGAGAGAGAAAGTGTGTGTGTGCGCGTGGGTGCTTCACGGGAGCAGCGCCCCTGTGATCGAGAGGGTAGGCAAGCCCGCTCAACACCCGAGTAGGAAGGTTGCCTACTGTACATTACCATTATCATTACCGGCTAGACCACAGCCTCGCTTTCTGTCTCTCTCTGTCCCCTTCCTCTGCGAGCTGGTTCCACGCAGCGTTTTTTCTTGTCAAGTGTCCTATTTCTTAAAAAGCGCACAATCGTCCGCTCGAGTACCCCACTCTGCCACACGAGGGTCCGGTTCGAACCAGCCACTGCGCTCACAAAAAACAAACTCCGCGCGCCGCGCGCCGTCCCGCTGAGTGCACCACACTGTTAAGTCGCAGCGCGCGGATTCGGCGAAATGGCCGCCGTTTTCGTTGGCGGCAAAGTTTGGCCGTGCCGTGGCATGCCGTGCCGCGCCATGCCGTGCCGCGCCACGCGTGGGGGTGCGAACCACTCAGGCCGAGGCGGGCTGAAGGGGATAAGATATATCAAGCATTGGCTCCGGATTTGTTTACCCGGAAGGCAGTGAAGAACACTCACTATTTGTCCGGAACGGGCCGGGAGCGCGTGTAGCCATGGTGTAGCCTCGCGCAGGGCCGCGGGGCCGCGAGAAAAAGCCGCGGTAAACAGTGGACCAGCCCGCCATCAATCCAGTGCGGGGCTGACGTGCTGTGAGCGCGGCGGCAGTACTTTGGGTACGGATTCCGGTCTGAGTCTTCAGTTGCCGGCGGGGCCGCCGTCGTGTGAGCGCAGGGGGAGTAGTAAGTTTGGGTACGGATTCCAAGCGGAGCAGCAGTCAGAGCGGTCTTTAGTTCCCGTTCGCAAAGGCATTTTTCAAAAAGGAGAAGGGAGGGGAGAGAGAGAGAGAGAACGGCGTTTGCTTTGAGACGCTGGAAGACACCCTCTCCCCACCAATCGGCCGAGCGGTTGGAGGTGATTCGGGTCACGATGAGGGAGTCGACCGCGGTGGCGTCGGCGCGGCATGCAAGATGGAACACGAACTTGCGTCCCGGCCGACGACGTCCCGTACGCGTCGACCCTGCTTTTTCAACTTTTTGCAACAACAGAACTCGCGCGCGAAACCAAAAGGAGCGGGGACGGGGAGGGGAGACGCTGCCTGCAGGATGATTTCGGGCTGCGGAGCCGCGGTCGGTCTGTCTCTCTCGCACGCATGCCCCGTGAGTACGGGAGAGAAAAGGAGAGAGAGAGAGAGCGGGGTCGTCAGACTGCTGGCGGCCCGCGGCCCCCTCCACCTGGAAAAGGCATAGCCACCGCCGCACCCAAGTTTTGCAAACGTTTAAATATTCAGACTCGCGGGTCCTGGAGGTCCTGGAGGTCCTCTCCGGCCCTCACTAATTTGATGAAAGAACTTGATGAACATGCCCGTGGCGGGGCGGTGCGGGGCTCGGTGCTCACGCGTTAGCTCTAAACTTGGTGCCCTATGCTGCTGCCGCTCGCGGGGTTACGCCGCCGCGGGGCGGGGCGGGGCGGGGCGGGGCGGGGCGGGGTGGGGCGGGGCGGGGCGGGGCGGGGCGGGGCGTTCCGGCCCGGAAGGAGGCTCAGCCCGAGCGTGCGGGGTGCAGCGTATCCCGGAGGGAAGAGAGAGGGAGAGAGAGGGAGGCTATCGGGCCGTAAATCTCGCGACCACCGCTCAGGCAGCCCGCAGGAAGCGGGGAGGGGGAGGGAGGGGGTGTATGTTGCAGAGTGGGCTGTGCGTGAGTGAGAGGCAGGAGGGGGCGCCAAAGGGTTGTTGGACCTAAGAGTGCTGCCTTGCATTGTCGAGCGCGGTCCCCCCTCCCCCTCCACGCACACCGCGGCACCGCGGGGCCCCGAGGCGCTTACCAAGGCCTCCGGGCTGTGGCCAGCGAGGCGGCCGCCGGATTCCGACGGATCGTCCCGCCTCTGTCGCACTGATGGCGCGTTCCGCAGGGGTGCGAGAGAGACAGGGCGACGACCGTCCGGACGGCATACGCAGGGCATACGCAGGGCATACGCAGGGCAGCCGTCGGTTGACCCTTCGGGCAAGGGGAATGAGGCGGACACGCCTGGGCGCGCCTGGGGGAGGGGAGTCATGCAGTAGGATGTGGTGGCGGGTATCGACGGGAAGCGGGGCGGGGCGGGGCGGGGCGGGGCGGGAAACCACGAAGGGAGCAGCAATGCCCGTGTGCATATGTTGAGACGCTGCAAACACACAGTGTGGTGTCGTGTAATCTGAAGCAGGCATCCCGTTCGCACACACGCGAACGCGGCACACGCACTAAACTGGGCCATGTAGTTCATAGTTGCTCCGCGCCAGTTTACAACTTTTTTTTTGCGTCGTCTAAATTTATGGGGCGGTAACAAAACCGCGGCACGGCTCGCCCATAGCGTTGCGGGAGACGTGCACTGTTGACAATTTTGTGGCTGTATCAGCCTTGTGTGCAGTCCAAACACTCCAGTCTTTAGCACTGTTTTTTTATTTTTCTTTTAAGTTGCTAAATATAACTTGAACCGAGCATGTGACCCCATTAATGGATTCCTCGTTCGGAGAGCAGTCCATTGGTGGGGTCACACGCTCGGTTCGAGTCCCGTTTAGCGACTCTGGAGCTCAAAACGCGTCCATTTGGGCTGGGACCGACCTTGCGAGGGCGCGTAGATGTTGAGGTAAAGGCAGTCCTCGTCCTGGTGCTGCAGGTGCGGCAGCAAGCGGCGCAGCGTCTCCAGCCTGCCCCGCGGCATGCGTTCGCGCGCCGCCGTGTCGTTGGAGATGTCGGGCAGGCGCTGCGGGCACACTGGCGCGAAGTGCTCGGCCAGGCGCACGCCCTGCCACAGCGCGCCCGACACGGGCGGCATGAAGCGCAGCGAGCCCACGGGCGGCATGGCGTAGGGGATGCCGCGGTACACCTGCAGGCAAACAGAGGGAGACAGAGTCAGAAAAAAAATCTCGCAGCGGTGGTATTTGAACCCGGGGCCGCCGCCAGTCGAGCTGCCTTCATTATGGGAACCTTTGCAGGCCAAGCCACCGCTCGGGGGCAGCGCTGTGGCTGCTGCCTGGCTGGAGCCTCCAGGAGCCACCCGCGCGCTCCAGCCTGCTCCAGCCCGATCCAGCCGCTCCAGTCGGGGCGGATCATCTCGGCTTACTTCGTTAACAGGAACTGTTTCGTCATATCCAGTGTCGGCGGGCTTCGGCTTCGACTTGGGCGCAGCCGCGGCTTGCATGCCGTCCGCCCCGGTCGCCCCGCCCCGCCCCGCCCCGCCCCGCCCGCAGCGTCGACACTGCTCTGCGATAACACGGCCGCCTGTATTTATTACAACTGGAACGGCCGCCGCGTTTCAATCTTTCCCTCTCTCTCTTTATTTTTTTTTTGCGCCGCCCGGATTTCTCATAGCGCTCCGCGATAAGGAGTATAAATAATAATTTTTTGGGCCGCAGATAACGGCAAGCTTTGGACTGGCTTCGGGTGCGGCAGCGCTGGCTTAGTATGCCTCGCAGTTAGTACGCGTCCGGCGACTGTGTTCCGGGTGGCACTCGAACGGGGCGCCTCCGGTGCTGTGCACAATGACACACACACACACACACACACACACACACACACACACACACACAGACGACACTATTTCGGTACGGCGAGCGTTGTGCTGCTGCTGGTGCAGCAATCTTCCGGAAAATTTGTTTCACAGCGACGCTGCTACTCGGTTTACATGCAAACGGCGATGCCGTGCCCCGGTCCAACCGGCGAGGCGTGGGCCGCATCGAGGGCGGGGCGGGGCGAGGCGGGGCGGGGCGGGGTGGGGCGGGGGGGGGCGCCGCCCGTGCGACCGGCCACTAGCAGCGACCTCGGCCAAAAGGCAGCGCACTGGAAGTTACGGCGTCATGTTGCCACCCCGGGCGGCTAGGCGCGGCGCAGCGTAGCCCAGCGTGGCGGCGACGACTCACAGTCGAACGACGGCCCGCCTCTCCCAGAGAGAGCCCCCCCCGGCCGGCCGGCCCGGCCCCTCTCCACCTGACAAAAAGATTTTTATCTCCGGAGAGCGCGAGCGCGCGCGCGCTTTAGACGAGATTGTAATCTGCTAAGAGAAACTGGAATGGGGCGGCCGCTATTTAGAAAAGGGTATCCTGTTGTTGCTGTCGGCCGGGCGGCCTGGCTCCTTGTGAAGAAACGGAGTGGCTTACACTGCTCTCTCTCTCTCTCTCTCTCTCTCTCTCTCTCTCTCTCTCTCTCCCACACGCACTGACAGGGGTGTGGGAGTGCGCTGACTGGCTTTCTGCTGGCCGGCCCGCTCGTCCATCCATTATGGAGCGAATACGTTAACACTTGGCAGCTCGGCACGGCGGCTCGGCACGGCTCGGCACGGCACGGCCGCAGCGTTACGTAATGTATGGACAGCCATTAATATTGGACGGCCGGCCCGGCGCTGCAGCTACACTACACTACGCACCTAAGAGTCCGCCACAATGGAGGCCTGCGTAATTACGTTTGTTTTATTTGTTGTTTGTTTTTTTTCGCGCGGCTAGTGCGCCGTGGGCACGCCGGAGGCCGAGCCTCAGCAATTAGTAGAGGTCGACCGGTCGGGATGATCCGCTGCCAGTGTGCCAGTCCGTGCCGGGCTGTGCCAGGCCGGCTGGCTGACCTGGACCAATTTCCAGGCGGATCTATTATTAATCACAGATTCATCTCTTTGCAGGTCGGGCCGGGTCGGGCCGGTCGGGTCGGGCGCCGGGATCGGGCCACCCCGAGCACACTGTCAGAACGCCGTTGTGTTTCATCCAGTAGTTGGCTGAGCCCGAGCAGTCTGTCTCTCTCGCACTCGCGGCTCGGGATCCGCCGCGACCCTTTTGTCCGCGGCCCCACACGCAGGCCGACCCGACCCCGCCCGCGGCGCAGTCGTGTCTGTCTCTCTGTCTCTCTCGCTCCTAGACGGGGGGGGCGGCCGTGAGTGCGAGGGAGACAGCGCGACGAAAACCAGCTCCCGGAATCAGTGGTTCTCGCGTTTGCAGTGGCGGCCCGGCCGGCGAGGTGCTCCACCACTCGGCCACGCCGCGCCACGCGCTCCACCGCCGACATCCGTTTGATTTCCACTTCCCGCAACTTTTTTGACACGAATTCACACTCCCATAACACCTAGCGCCCAACTTTCCGCACACCACTCAGCGCGCCGCGCCGAGTCGAGCAGAGCTACACACTTTCGCTGTCTTTTTCTCGCGCGTCTAACTTTTGCCCGGACGCGCCTCGACGGCTAGCCTTCTGTGGAATTGAGAATTTTCTCCGTCCATGCCTCTCTCTATATATATCTGTCTCTATCACACTTACACACACGCAGCACGCGTGCACGCACACCCTTCCAGCGAGCAGCGAAGGCGGAACAGACAGACGCTCGTTCCGCCACACTGGTATGGCCGGCCCTCCCCACACAACATAAGTCCCGCCAAAAGCGAGGAGGTGGGTGCACCGGAAAAGGAAGTGAAATCCATACACGGGGGCAACTTCCGGTCCGTCTGGTCCGCGCCACTGGGGGGAGGGGTGAGGGAGAGAGAGAGAGAGAGAGAGAGAGAGAGAGAGAGAGAGAGAGAGAGAGAGAGAGAGAGAGAGAGAGAGAGAGAGAGAGAGGGGGGGAGGCGCTTTGATAGAAGCAGAAAACTGTACTGTCACGGTGAGAAGAACCGCGTGAGGAGTGGGCGAGGCTGCGCCGAGAGAAGAGTTGAGATGGGGGAAAGTGGGAGGGGGAGGGGGAGTGACTCGACAGGAAGGGTTATTCACTCGAATAAAACGGTGGCGCTGGCACAAAGCACTGTGTGTGTGTGTGAGAGAGACAGACAGACAGACTGACAGACAGAGAGGAGCGATAGTCTGGCTGTAGGGATGTAGGGGAGACAACAGCCCCCACACCTGCAGGCAGGTCCGCAGAGTGTAGGCAACCCCTGCGGGCCGCTCTTCCAGTGTGCCTGCCTGGCGGCCCCGGCGGGGCGCTGCAGCGCGCTGCCCGGTGCGGCTCGGCGCTCCATTTGCCACTCGCGTTGTCATTCCCCAAATTGGAGCCGATGCGGAGCATGCGAGGGACACGCCACTGGCTTTTAGAGCGCTTTGTGTCAGACAGGCTGTCCCGAAAGCGGGTTTCATTTTCCCCTCCTCTCTCTCTCTCTCTCTCTCTCTCTCTCTCTCTCTCTCTCTCTCTCTCTCTCTCTCTCCCTTTGCTGCATCGATGCGGCGGTGAGATGAGTGCTGTGGAGGTGACCCGGCTTTGATATAGCATCGTGGTCGCTGCGGGTGTTTTTTATTTTTCTTCTTTTGCTCCCGTTTTCTTATTTTGTTTCCCCTTAGCATAGTCAATCTAGCGGGCGTTTTGCGGACAAAGCGTTCGGCGAAGTGCACGAGGAAGTTGGAGACAAGTTGGGGTTTATGCCTCTCGACGTCACTGTCGCGTCACCGACACCACGACAGCGCGACTACCTGTTAGCTGCCTGCCCTGCCCGCCTGAATGGCTGACAGCTTGAGTGGCGCGATAGCCGGCCAGGCAGCCAGCCAGGCAGGCTGGCAGACACACCTGTGCGATGCAGCCGGATGTAGTAGGGGCCCTCGTTTCGGCTTGCTTCCAAGAACTGCCGGGCGAAACAACGTGCAGAATGTTTCCAAAAAAATGTTTTGATACTCGACAGCTGCTCCGGAGTCCGCACCAAGCGTTTGAAATTTGCCGGAAACGAGTGGCATTTGTTCAGCCGTGCCCTGGACAGGGACTCACAATTACCGAGGACGACCCAAGAGAAATGCAACCGCTCTTTGTTGCGAAAGTTCTTTCGAATCCCCCGGAGGCATTTCCAATTAAATTTTTTTCAACAGTGTGCCCGATGCTCACTCAGGCTGACACGGCGACACCTGTTCAGGGTGCGGGGCATTAGCGGCTCGACACGGCTCGGCTCAGCCGCGGTGCGGATGGCCGGGCGCGATGTGAGAAGAGGCAGTTAAAGCATGAAATATGAAGAAAGAGACGCTGTGCGCGCGCCGCGGTCCGGGCACGGCCTCCTTCAGTCCACCACTCACCCCGACGCGATTTGTCAACTGTCACTCCCTGCAGAGGCAGCCCCCCCCCCCCCCGCGTCTCACTCCGTCCCACTCGCACGCCCACAATGCGATATCCGGCCGATGGAATGTACCGACTGGCCGAAATGATAAATGACGGGCCAACCGTCTAATCCGTGACCTACCTCGCCTCGCCCCACCCACTCCACCCCGCCCCGTTAGGGAACCGCGCGGCAAAAACAGTGAAATGGCACACTATCTTTAGTGCGGGTCGCCAAAGTACGCACCGTCATCGGGGTGTGCCTGCCAAGTACTCTGTCACGTTCAACTGCACAAGACTGGCCCAAAGCGCGTTGACACACTTTGGAGAGAGGCACGTCCTCATCTTTGAAAGCAAAAGCATTCAGGAGAGATAGAAGAAGGGTTTTGCAAGTTGTGTTTCCTGAACGGAAAGTGGTGCGGCAGTTAGCAGATAGTCACTTTCATGATCAAGGAGAACTAATTTTCCAGAACTCTGACTCAAAACTGGGCGGCTCTGTCGGCTTCCAAATGTGTGTCTCTCTGCTAACTGCTGACAGTGTACCAAACTCGCAGCCTAGAGCCTGGCAAGTTGATCCTGGTCGTTAAGGCGAGGTGGACAAATCATCGAACAGACACACACACACACACACACACACACACACCTAAACGGGCGGGCAGATTACGGCATGATGGAGCGATCGGCGACCGCTTCACTTCAAACGCGATCGAACAGCGCGCCAAATCGGCCAGATCAGACACGGCACGGCGGTGTGCGGTCACCGGGAAACTTGAAAAAAGACGGCAACGCAAAGGCGCGCTTCATCAGCCCGCTCGTTCTGGCTGTTTTGGCTGTTCCGGCCATAGCCTGGCCGGTCCGCTCCACGCCTGAGAGGCCGAGAGACGAGGGGAGCATGGGGTTCTCATAGCCGGCTCAGCCGGGCCACAAGAGTGGTGCACCCAGGAAAAAAAGGTTTCCTCAGTTTTCGTGTACTTGATTTTTTTCATGTTAAGAAACGTGATCTAAGTAATTTTTTTTGTCACACAAGAAAAAGTTTGGACCAAAAATATAAAAAAATCAACCGCAAAGTTTTAATGTTCAATCTGGATCCAAGAGGTCTTTTTTGTGGGTGTGCCGAGCCGTGCGAGGGTGCTCATAAGAGTGGAAGAGGAATGGGGCACGTA